AAAATCCAAGCAGTTCTGAGGCCCTCGTGCACCTGATCTGACCCTCCCATGCACCCCTACGCATCCTCTCGCTCCCTCCCCCAACCATCAGCGCCTGGGGCTTGCAACTTCCTGCCGGCTTCCCCACTGACTTGATTGTTGAAAGTTGTCTCACCTAACAACCAGGGCATTCCTTAACAACAGCAACCAGGACTGCTGGGATTGTGGTCACTAAGCAATGCAGTCACATGATGTTTTGCCTAACGACTGCATCACTTAGTAACAGTCCCAATTGTGGTCATTAGATGAGGACTACCTGTACTGCCTTATATTGAGAAAATAAAAAACTAAAAGTCTGATTCGTACAAGTAGCTATACTGAGTCAGAACAGTAATTTATCTAGTCCGGTAATGTTGATCCTGAATGGCAATGACTACCTAGAATTTTAGAAAGATAATCTGGAGATACCAGGGTCTGAACCTGTAACCTCCTTCATGTAAAGTATGTGCTTGAGCTGCAAGATATGTATCTATAAAGAAGTGCTGGTTGAATTCTCTGTCTTCAGTCATTAATGCACTAAGAAGCTTCAGGTGGATGATAAATATATTGTCTTATCAACCATTCCATCTCCACATTCTTAATGTAGGGTCATAGTAAGGATGATGTAAGGCATCCTGAATAATTAGAGAACACACTGTATAAATGTTTAAGTATTATTAGAACGACTTCAACAAGTTTGCTCCACTGAAGCACCGTGTTGGGTTCTTGATTAAAAGATAAAGGAAGAGGCTCTGATGGAATAAACATGCAGAACCAGTATTCCATCTTTAAAACTATCCAGCAATAAGCCAGCCTTCCTCAATCTGCTGCATTTCAAATGGAAGCCTCATAGCTACAAATTCTGGGAGTTGCAGTCCTAGTATATCTGGAAGATCCCATGTTGGGGAAGGAAGAGGCAACATACCGTAATTGTGTAATTTGCTTGTAACTAATCAGAAATACTTTCACCCACCTCTTATCAAATTCAGCCACATCCTCCAGAATCTTGCGGTAGGTCTCTAGCAATATCCACTCAGAGCAAGGAGGCACATTTGTAGGAGGAGAAGGACTTGAAAACTTGAATTGAACAGTCCACTTAGGGCAGAAGCAGATGTAACAGTCAGGCATGTAACTAGCGTTGTATACCAGCCAGTCAACACTCAGGATAGCATAGTCATGCACATGTAAAAGGCCACCTGTGGGTAAGGAAGAGGCAAGTGGAACAAAGGGAAACAAGACCATGGCTTGAATTGCTTCGCTGGAACAATGAAACTATCTATACTGCAGTGCAATATAGCGATCTGACCAGTGTTGGTGATGAAACCTATAACTGACTAGCCGAATTGTCTCAAACAGTAGAAAGCTAGGAAGAAGGATCCTGTTTAAAGATAAATTGGCCCTGTACAAGGCTAGATTGAAATGGTAAACACAAACCCTTAGCCAATCATTTAGTGCAAAGGCTCCAATGCTTGGACTGTACCTTGTCCAGAAGACTCCTTCTTTAGCAAACAAAGGTTTTCTTTGTTTAAAATTAGCAGTACTTGCATTTTTAACTATAGACAGTGAACTATAGTCCACCCATCTTAAAGTTGCTGAGGTTGAAGAACCCTGCTGTAAAAGGTGGGCAGTTAAAGGAGCACAGAAGAAAAAGGAAACTTATAACTGTTAAATATTGTCACTTTCACTTATTACTATGCCATTATCACTTATGAATATAATTAGGCACAGATGAGTAGATTAGTTGTACATATTAGGGTTAACACGATAGAAGTATATGTCTTATATAATAAACTAATGTTGTGTAAATATCAAAGAAAAGCATTCAGCCTTTTGGTCTGTGGTTTGTACCTTAACTGGAACCCTCTCACAAGCTGGGAAAATAATGTTAGCTAAAGCTGCTGATTTTGTAAAAAAAAAAAAAAAAGTTGGCTAATTTTGAAAGCAAAAGCTCTATAGCTGAAAAGAAGCAGATTATCTATAATACTCATCCTTTTTCTTCATAGAGTTTCTTTCAGTCCTCCATGAGCAACAATATAACCAACCAGTTTATCCACTTAGCACAAAACTCATGGAGATGCTAGGGGAGACCAGGTTGGAATCATTACCTTTGGGCATGTCTTTTAAGATGCTGAACACAGCACTTTGTTCAATGAGACCTTTAGCCTTGAAGAAATGCATGGCAGGTGGAAACAGCCCAGTTTCCATAGCTTTAATTACTTCAGTTTCTTTGAGGCACATGAGCTTGTCATTGACATGTTCTTCCTGCGGTCCTAGGATAAGGTTGCCACCTGTACGCCGGGCATTCTCCTTCTCAAATAGCATGTCCCGTTTATTCAATAGGATGCTTACACATAGGGAAACCCAACTGAAAATGAGGATCCCCTGACCTCTGATTCTTTGAGCAACCATATTCATTGCTAAAGGAGCACACCTAGAAAACATAGACACAAATGCAAACAATTTTTTAAAAAATCTAAATTATCTTCAGCATAGGAAACAATTGGAAAAGTCCAGGAGATTTCCTTTTAAAAATATGTTCTCCACTTGAAACTGAATGATTTAAGTTTAAATTTAAAGATTTAAATATTAATTTAAGAATTCAAGAGTTTCTCCAAGAGATTTTTCAGCCCAAATCATAGCTTGCCCCTTCTAACAAAGGGTAGTAAAAAGCTCACCTGGAGACACTCCAACAATTTACTTACTGATGATTTTTCCTTTCTTGTACTTGGCAAAAGCTCTTTCACAAGCTAAAAGTCAAAGCCTCTCAAGAGTACACAGGTAGGTCTGGCTGGTGCTTTGAAACTATTCCTCCAACACAGAACAATCTAGAGACGTCAACAGTTCCAATTCCTTTACTGCTTCAGCCAGACCACAGAATTCCATATCACTGTTTAAACAAAGGAGGAAACCATGAAAAAGATTATGACCCACAGAAAAAGTAGAATTTTCATGCTCACTTAAGCAAAAATTAATATTATTCACTATGATTTATTTGGAAGTAAACATGCACAGAACTGGGTCACATAGGCTTTTATGGATCACAACCTCTCTACTATGTCAGCTACGTCAGCATTAGCACTTTATGCACCTTTGTCCCAATCCAGCACAAGGACTCTTGATACAATGGTCATCTAACTTCTCTGATGACTCCTTGTTTTTAAAAAGGAAATAAAAATACTAATAATATTTTGAATGGAATTTCTGCATATTCAAGTGCATGGTACTGATTTATTGTATTTAAATAAGGAGGCTAAGCTGATATAAGCCCCTTAATGGGGGAAGCAGTAAGTTGATGGGGGTAGAGGACCATCACTTTACATACATTAGCAGAGCTATCATAGGCATTAGGCAACAGAAAGCCATGATACCTACACAATTATTGTCCAATCGTCTCAGACACAAGAATGCTAGCAGAATAAAAAAAATTAGTTTTAAGTGTATTTTAAGTGGTGGGGAAATGCAATTCCAGAAAAGAAGTACTTCCTTGAGAGTAGGAATCTGGATGCATTATAATACTGCTGCAGCAACTGTCCATTTATCACGAAGGGAAAACCACATCATGGCTTAGAAAGTTGGAAAAAAAAGTAGCTTTACTAGTAGCTTCCTAGCGATTACTAGGAAGAACTTCAGTGGGATGTATTAAGTTTACCACAACAGGGCTTTACACTAGCCTTAATGCCAGCAGAAACTGAAATAATTCATTTCAAGCATTTCTCAGTCTAAAAAGCCCATTACTTTCAGACACTTTTTTCCAGTCATTTCTTTAACTCAAATACTCACAGAACATTTGTTCAAACATCTTAGGTTTATAATAATGTCTTATCAGGGAACTATGCCACAGAAGGGCACATGAAGAAAGATTAGCATGTTTATTTAATTAAGATATTTCTAGGCAACGAACTCTTAGAGTGTTTATATTTTGCTTTTTGGAATGAGACCTCAAATACCCATTTTCTCAACACATAAACCTTCCCAAAGCAGAACGATTTGGTGAAGAAGTGACTTCAAACTTGTCATTCCCCAAATGCATTCTTAGCTGGTCTGTATCACTGCCCTGATATTACTATTTGAATTAATCTACAATCACCAGCATTCCTTGATCTGCCTGTCTAATGCAGAAGGGTAATACATTCTTAACGAAGGCCTAGAGAAAATAAAGTATTTTAAATAGAATCATAGAATGTATTACAATACAGAATTGTAAATGTTGGAAATCATCTTCAAACGACAAACAATGTATCTTAGATGGCAGTTTCTTTAGCCTCTTGAAAAGCATGAGTTGGAAGGCCACATTGTGAAACTTAAAATTAAATAATGAAGGCAATGAAACCATTTGGGATTAACTACCAAAGAAATCTCTCATAGTACCAGATAAGATATAATTGAAGCATAACACAATTACTAATTATTATTATTATTGGTGGGAATCCTGGGGATTTTATTTTCTGATGGAACTATTAAGGCAATTGCTATAGCAATTTAGATAAAGATGTTTGGTTTGCCCAGCATTTAACCACGATCATATATTTGTATGCAGTCATAATTATATGTTCACCTATGCAGAGATTATGAGTACCAGACAGAAGGAACTAGAAATCTTAACCTGAGAAACCAAATATGACCAGAGAGGTGTCATGGAACTCAATAGGATGAAAGTCATGGCAGGAAGGATAGCAAATAGGACTGGATAAGCCTATTTCCTTTTCTTATTCTGCATTCCTGCTTCTCGGCTGATACAGGAATCTTAACTCCTCCAAAAGGAGCTAACAATGAGCAGAAGTCCCTTTTGAAGCTGGGAAAGCAAGCCATCGTTTCTGCACAGTTGCCATAGACAAGACCTCTGAAGATTCCTGTTCTGTATGACAACAGAAGTCATTTTTGCCTCCTTCCACTCTGACCCTGCTCTGTTGATCTTAACAATTGCTACCTGCTGGCATGCAACACAAGAGGGCCAGGGGGCTGGACACAAAGGCCTCTTTCAGATGAGGGGCTTACCCTAGAGCAGCCAGGCTTGGAGGAGGCTGAGTGAACAGCTCCCCTCCCCCTCCAATCCCCCACCCACCCAACAGCTTTGCATTTCAATCAAAGGCAACAATCGCTATGGAATCCCCCATTCTCTGCTGCTCTCTCCATTGTGGGGCTCATCCTACCTGCCCACCATTGGCCACCAGTAGGACATAAAAGGAAATGGATATTCATACTCATACTCATGGAAACAGAAATAGGAGAAATATTTTTCTCTTCAAATTAGTAATTTACGGGCATTTGGAGTTAAAGAATATTGGTACAAATTGCCAACATACTGTACCTCGCTTATCCTATAAACTGAGCATATACACACTAGAGCAATGTTTCCTAACCAGGTGCCTCTGAGATGTGTAGGAGTGCAATTCCTATCACCCATAGCCAATATGCCCATATTGTCTGGGAATTTTGGGAGTTGCAACATATCTGGAGAGCATCAATGGAATGATTATTCTTTCCATTTCCCTGATAAACCTGGGACTTTGCAAGCAACTACAATAAACCACACTTCCCTTGATCTTCTGGTGGAAGACATGATTGTAATCTAACTTTGTAGTGTAAATAAGCTAATTCCACCCACCCCTCCATTTTCCCTGATTATTTTTCAGCAATTCCTCTAGTCCTTTCACCAGGACAGTGAAACATTTTTTCAGCCCAAGACAAAGTTAGGCTGTAGATCAGCAACAAAAACCCAAAGGCTGATCAAAACCTTCAGGCAGTCATTAAATGCAGTTCCCAGTGAGATGACTTCACTTGGCCCATTTTTCCCATCAGAAGAGTGAGGCCCTAGAGAACTATCATCTGTCAAGGCTTTTATGAAACTGAATGGGGGAAGTTTGGCAAACCAAATTCAACCTCTTATCCCTGTCTTATATTCACCCCTTTATATCAGTCTCACGGTCATAACCATAAGATGACGGTGCTACCCTAATGAATTAAGCTTAGTCACCGGATCTCCCTTGGTTAAATCTGCTCCTCCAACTGGCAATTCAGGGTAGCGAGCTGAGTACGAAAATATGAGTCCATAAAGCAAGCAAGCAAACCAAAATTGTAAAAAGGCCACTTAGGAAGTTAAAAGCAATTGATAACTTTTACTGGAATCATATTTGAAAATCTTCCTGGACAACTATCTTTTCGGAGTACATTCTAAAACAAACCAACAAACATCCATTTAAATAAACATAAGTTCACTAATCCATTCTGAACGTCTCCAAAAGGTTGCAGCGATCTGTCTTAGGTCCTTAAGTAAACTATATTGCCAAGCTGGACAATGCCTGGTGAACAAGGAAATAGCTTCCCAGTATTTTTTTTTATCTTTTTCACCATCTATCTGTATTGCTTGAACACTGTTTTCACAGCATATTCTTGAGTGCTATTAAAACATACCTGGCCTTTTGCCACTTATCCATGAATTTGGGCCTGGCTGAATATTCTGTCTGCCTAAAAAGAAAAACAAACAAACCACAGTACAAAATATCTGCAGTTGAAAGGGTACTGAGAACAATAATCTAACCGCCCTCTAAATAAATATGCCAGATCCAGACAGTAATATTGCTTTATATAACATGTCAGCAGGTTATAGAAGCGCTACAAGCAGACTCAGCCCAACTTTTTTCAAGTTAAAAGTAGGCAGGGGAATAAGAGAGGGTAGATTGGATCGGGGGCGCAAAGTGAAAGCAAGAACAGGTTGCTTTTCTCCCAATACCACCGGTGTCAATATTCACACAACACATCCACGATAAACCTAACTAAGTTTTGCTCAATTTAGCCAATTTTCCAAGCCAGTACAACACACTGCACTACAAGTTGACCACACAGGCTGGGTTCACACAATATGCAAGGTTAATATGTGGCTATTTAGTTAGTAGTTCAGTGTGTTGTGTGAGAAGAATTAAGGTCCCTCCAAAATTTTATGTTACCTGAGATAATTTTTGGTCATAGGCTGGGATCTTACAAATGCAAATCACACACTTCATGAGTTAACAGGAAATAGAACTTGGTGGCCTGGGTTTAAAACAAGCATCACCCACACTGCCTTATCATGATCTCATGTACAGGTAGTCCTCAACTTATGATCACAATTGGGATCGGAATGTCCATCGCTAAGCAAAGTGGTTTAAAGCGAGATATCATGTGACTGCATCACTTAGTGACGGCAATCCCGGCAGTCCTGGTTCCTGTTGTTAACGGAGAATCGCAGGTCATTAAGCGAGTACCTACCCCAAGCCAAGCCATTCAGACTTGGTCCCTCTCAGCCCAGGGCCTCAGTAAGGTTCACCTCAGTCAGCCTCCAACTGCCCCTACCCGCCTATCTCTGCCCTTCTGGCCGCCCTGCACCCTGCCTTGCAGAGTGGCAAGCAGCCTCAGAACCCTGTGGCTCTGGGGCTGATTGCCACACCCTGGAAAGCCGCAGCTGCCCCAGCCCAGTCCCAGCCGCAGTCGCCCGTGCCACCCTGCCCTTTTGGCCCCCTGCTGCCCTGTGCTCTGCTGCCCCAGCTGACCTTCACCACCTTCTTGCTCCTGGTGCTGATGAGGTGTGCCCGGCT